CGTCGCCCGTTGCGCCGCTGCAGATGCGAGCTCCCCAACCTGCCGCGTCGCGGCAGCGGCCTGAGCGGCCCTTTCTTGATATATCGCATCGACGATTTGCTCGGAATTCTTCGCCGCCTCATTGACAGTCAGCAGATGAGATTGAATGTGCTGTTCTGTTTAGGCCGCGCGCCCCAAGTTTCTGCCCCTCTTCCAACATCAGAAAATGCCGCTGCTTCTCATGCATCTTCCTTGCCGCGCCCAACTTCCAGCGGTGACAGCTCGATGACTCTGACGCGCCTGCTGCGCGAACAATAACACATTCGCCGCTCCTTCTTATCGCACATTGAGTCTTGCACCTGAGCAATCGCCGGATCACTGAGCTGCCTCTCCCTAGAGGCGACGTTCTCAGCTTCATTCTTGCGCCAGGCAAAAATGGCAAGACGCACGGTCCAGGCAGCGCCAACTAACGCCGCGCAGCTCGCACACGCCGGGACAAGCCACGCACACTGGGCGGAGGCATGGACCGTCAACCTCTGCCGCGCACCTCCCGCATCGACGCTCTGTCGCCGGCGGGCGCGCCGACCCCGCGCGCGGCAACTTATCTTGATCGAGACACGACTTGACGACGAATTGCGAGACGGACTATTGGAACCATGACTGCTCCTCGACCTGTCACGGGGTTTTGTCAACAAGGGGAAGCTGAACTCGGGGCGCACTGCGTTGACATAGAACGAGACCGCGCCTCATCCGTCGCCCCCTCCATTTCCCGGAATACAATTCAACGATTGGCTTCTGCTCGGCCCCCGGCTGAACTGGACACCTGCATTGGCGAATCATGCCCCTTGCTGACGTCGACGGGCCCCTTGGGTCGCTTTGGCACTGGCGCCTCCCAAGTATTATCTTTCGCGTGTTCCATCGAAGTCAACGGAACAAGATATCCCCCATCGGTCGACTAAATCATCGCACTTTTCTCGGAGGGTTCCACGAGAGCGGACAAGTCACGATCAAGATCAGCACCTGAACTGTTGGTGAAACAGGCGACGAAGCCTCTTCCAGGAATATGCACGAACGGAACATCAATCAGCTATACCGGAACACTGTCTTGGGGTGGCTGAACTTCCAAATCGGATAAACGTTACCTTCACAACTTCCGGCTGCTACGACTTGTGCGTCTGGAGAAATTCTGTTCTTATCCAATTGATGAGCACAGGAACGCTGTCCCCCGCAAAGGTGCAACATCGATTTCCACTGATGCCTGTAAATCACGCAACGACATGGCACTATGTCCGTTAAGCAGTGATGTATGTGATGTATGCACGAGAAGAAGAAACGACGATGAGGCGACGGCCCGGCGCACACACCGTTTGTCCAGTGTTTGCGCAAGCCCGCGGTGCCTGCTTGATCAACTACACAGCTGCAGCCCGGTAGAAATCAGTATCGGCAGCGGCAGCAGTCGGGCGGCGGCGGCACAGAAACGGCGGAAACTGAGTTCCAACAACTGAAATAACCAACGCCAAATCAGACCATGCGCGCGGAGACGGCCTGGAGCGTAGCTTAGGCGCCCAGAGCAGCGTGGAAGGGGGACCATATCACCCCCGCGCAAGGCGTGGGGATTGACTGGTCGAGAAGGCGGTCCAACAAATAAAGGGAAGCACTCAAACCAGCATCTTATCTTACGAGCGTTCGACACCAAGGAAGCGGAGAAGGAAACCGAGGAAGATCGGAAAGAGCGGGGAGGCATTCAGAGCAAATTAAAAGATGGACGTAACAAACAACACCTTGCCGTAACATTGCCGATGGGACGCCGGCGTGTCGCACGCTGCCGGGTGGAGGCCAGCGTGTCGCGCTGCGCCAGGAAACAAAGGGGGGAGGAGGAGGAGGAATGAGGAAAGAAAAAACACCAGGAGGCATGTGATACGATCTCTCCATCAAGGCGTATCGGACCAGCGGTTGAAGAAAAAATGAGTTATATGATCGGTGTTTCGTCCCTGTTCTTGTCTCCTCTCATCGATACGCTGCCGTCTCGCTGCGGACGTCGCACTGCAATAATTGTCATTGCCGTTTCGCTGCCGACTTCAATGCACATTTTGTCGGCACCACCGTCGTGCGCTCTGTCGGCGCCAACGAGGCGCGCGACGTAACTGAGGAGAGTCGACTGCGCACTGCAGATCCGACCACCAGGCAACGCGCCTGCAAAAAGAAGCCATTTGTCAAACAAGCCTATATAATAAAGCTGTGATGGAGCTGCCTGGCCACTCGTGGGCATACATTGTATACCATCGGGTTTTACGCTTCACCGCATCACGATGTACGTCGCAGCATGGCGTACAACATTGCACAATATATGACGCAGCAGCTCATGACCTGGCATGTGATGGCCGAGAGAAGCGGGACGTAAAGCGGTACATCATAGCGCATATACAGATGTGTATGTCGCAACAGTGCCTCGCATGTCACTGCATGCCACGGGTTTTTACACATAACGCGCCATATCATGGCACATCATCTAGTATGGAGAAGCGTTTTTAGTCAGCCACTGTGGTCGGCAAGTTCCTCGCGAGTTAGGCACCGTGACTTTGTCCAGATCGTATGCCAAACCGTGCCAGCAGATGCTATGCTGGTGTGGGCGACTACATGATGTCACGTGCTATGCAGTGGTGGCTTCAGCAATGCGGCGATATTGTGCTTGATATTGAGATGTGCAATGGTATTACGGGCTCTGCTTTGCTCGGTAATGTTCGGATACAGTGCGAATGGACATGCGATGTCGTGCTGCTTAATGCCATGCCAGGAGACGCGTTGCTTTCCATGGTGTGCAACGATACGAGCTACCATACTATGACACATCTATGCCATGTGGGCCTCGCTGTAAGAGGTGACCAGACAGCATCCTCATGTGCCTCCTCCCCTTGACAATGCTGCGTTGTATTGATCTAAGTAGCCGCTTGGGCCGCTCAGAAAGAGGAACCTTGACGGAGATGCCTTGCGTGTTGACTGGCGCGATCGTGCGTGCAACCCAGCCCTTTTTAGCGGAATCGCTTCCTTTTCCACCAAGTCGTCGTAACAACTTGGCACCGCGAAGTGTTCAGTTGTCGTGGGGGCGGAGGGCACGGTGCGGGGGCTGCCTGTGTCGGGACGGCTGGAACTCGGCGCCTTGCCAAACGGGCCCTCCCCTTTAAGAATGCCTTGAAGGATTGCCCCCTTAACGGGGCTGGACGGCGTCCGCTGCGCAGACGCCCTCCTGCCATCGCTCGGACGTCCATTCCCCGTGTTTTTGTTCGGTTTCGTGCGTGGTTTTTTCGCCAAATGATCAAGGATGCTCCTCGATGGTCCTCGCCGACGGAAAAAATGCACACTTTCGAGCGATGCCAAGCCCTGCCCCAAGGGAGGGGCGCTGTGAAGGGGGGACGGGGAGGGGGGCAGGGCGAGCCGGGGGGTCGCCCAGGAAACGAGAGGAGGGCCAGGCCCGGGGGCGGGCACGGCCGAAGAAACGGGTGGCCTGCGGGAGAACCGATGGGGGCCTTGAGCAGACTTCAATCCCTGAAATTCTTGCAAAATGTGGGGAGGACGGAGAGGAGGGGGAGGAGGGGGGGAGGGGGGAGGAGGAGCAGCAGGGGGAGGAGCAGACCGGGGAGGGCGCAGGCTCGAGGCGAAAATGCACCTTGTGAGTGCCAGAGACACAGAGAGAAGCGCCGTCAAAAACAAATCAGGCCCCCAACAAAGACAGCAAAAAGCACAACCACGAATTGAAACAAGACGCATATTAGCCGGTGCACTGGACAGGTCCGCTGACCCAAGGGCGCGTCAAGTCAGCAGGGCGCTCCAGGAACCCGCCCAAGGGGATGCCAAGACGGTCTAAATTGCTCGCCAAGACGGCCACAGGGTCCCAAGACAGCCCAAGACCGAGACCGCTCCAAGACAGCTCTAATGTCGCCTCAGGCAGCGCAAGAAGCCCACCAAAGGCGCTCCAGGAGGCAACTTGAAAAGGCCTCAGGAAGGAGAAAGCATGGAGGTTCCTCAGGTGCCCAACGACTCTCACCTTCTTGCCTCTTCGGGCGTGCGTCGGCTCGAGACGGCCTAGAAGGCCTTGGCCGTGAAGGCCTGGCCTTCGAGATGGCCCCAAGAAGGCCTTCAAGATGGCCCCAAGATGGCCTTCAAGAGGGCCCTAATCTGATTCAGGAGGCTTCCAAGAGGCTCAAGAGATCGCCGCAAGTCAGCCCAAAAAGACTTCCTAAACGGCAGCAGGACAGCCCAAGAGAGCCCCAAGACGCCTCCTCAGAGGGCGCCAAGGATCCCAGAAGGCCGCACGAGGGGGATTCCGAATTGACATGCCGAGCCTTCTCCTCAACATGGCACTCGGGACAGCCAGCAGGCTCCAAAGGGGGTCCCCCCAGAAGCCCCTGGAGAACCTAAAGACTGCCCCAGGAGGCCGCAGGGGGTCTCAACAGTGCCGCCAAGACGACTCATGGACGCCTCCCGAGAAACATCAAGAAGCCTCTTCAAGAGGCGTCTTGTCTACGACCCCATGTGGCCCCAAGGGTGCCCCAAGAAGCAATCGAGATGCGCTCTGCTCCCACTCGTCCTCCTCCTCCTCCTCTTCCTCCTCCTCCCTCTCGCTCGCCACCAACACACCAACAAATAGCAACAGTGATGCAACATGGGCCAGCATAATGACCTGAGCGATTGAATACGAGCACGAGCCGTAGGAAGACAAGTAGAAGCACGTGAAATAGACGAGTTATCCAGCAAGCCGCGTTCATCCCCACCCTCCCTGTCGTAACAGCATTACGGGTGCACCTATGCTGCAATGCGCGCTCCTGGGATCCACGCCTGGATCTGTTCGCAGGGCACTTGTCACTTCCAAAGAGTCCTTCATAGCTACACCTTGTGTTGGCTTCCGAGTCGTCGTTCTAAGGAGGTCACTGGATCGTTCAACACGAACTGACAAACTCAACGAACACGTCATCCTTCCATTCATGCTCCATCACAGTCCTCCCTCCCTCCTCTCGCGCGCCGTCTCGTTTGCACTGCGCAGCTCGTACGATGGCTCGTGCACTGCAGCAGGTGCCCAGCCGAGAACGGGGGGGAAAAGAGCACAAGGACGCCCGCTCCCGTTCTGGCCGATGAAACGAAGATCCGCAGGTCCCCCGACGGGCTGTTCAGTCAGCGGCTGTTTCGCTGCGAGGCGTCCACAAAGACGCTGGAAACAGCAACCACCAGCATACGGACAGAGCCAGTGATATCCAACAAAACAATTAGCCGAGGTGCACCACAACTACACATGCTATGATGAAGTGGCGCCCCCGCACATGATAGAGAAAGAGACAGGAGCGGCGAGGAGCGAGGAGGAACGCATGAGGGACACTATTGAGAATGAAACTCATAATGAGGGGCAGGAAAAGGGAGGAGGAAGAAAGAAAAGGAGCACGTGAAAAATGACAAAGACAAGGAGGGGACGATGACGATGATGAGGGAGGTGTTAGATGTCTTTTCCTGCAGGTGTATCGACCAAACCGCCCAGAATTATCATCCCTGATGCAGAGACGGGGACCTCAGTGAGGGCCCCCTGGTGGTGTTGGTATCGCTTCTCCTCCCTCCGACAGACATGCAGCGAGCTCGCCGCAGAAGCCCACGCAGGAGATGCCCAGAACTGGTGCTGACCGCCTTCGGCCGTGGACGCGGTGGCGGGCTGACCGTTAAATCAGGGAACGAGCAATGACATACAGTCGGGGCGTTGACCTAAGGAACCCTAAATAAGGAACAAGGCCCTTATTTCCATAAGTTAACCTTCGATTTCCTGTCGAAAACATAAGGGAAGCCTGAGGCAAGCTGTGAAACACTTAAGGAACGCGGAGCCCCTCCCCAACGAAAAGGGTTCCTTCTTCAGGGCCCCGACTGTAAAAACTCCGAGGTCCGCGCGGATTCCATTGATCGGCGCTGGACCTCCTTCCCCGGCGCGCGGAGCGCGCTAGAGGTGGCGCCCAGGGGGGCCGCCAGGGGGTCCCAGCGCCGATGCGAGAGATCCGCGCGGAACTCCGGGTTGTTATGTTCATGTCACTGCTCGTTCCCCTAACCTGGGACCGCCGCCAGGCCCAGCCTGCAAGTCGGGCAGGCGCGCCACCCAAATGGAGCCGCCCGCCAGGCCCATCCGCAAGGCAAGCAACACAAACAGCAGAAATGAGCAACGCCCGGATCGCGAGAAGGAACGCCGCCCTCGCGCACGGTGACCCATCGGTCACGCTGCCAGACAGTGCCACAAAAAACTCAAAATGCGGATCCTCGAAGCCCCAGCGTCCAAGCCTGCTGTCCAGCGAGTGTGGCTGAAACTCGGCCGAAACTGTGCGCCAAATTTATAAACACATGCTGACACGCGATTCCTGCAGGCCTCCATGACGCAGCCTGGCGTGCTTTCCAATGGGGTGGCGCCGCCCTCCCGAGACAGCTCAACCCAACTGGCGGAAGCATTTGAAAACCGCGACTGGCACATACCGACCTCCAGGCCGCAGATGCCTCTGGGCGTGACGTCCTCCCAGGGCAGCCCAGCCCGTCGCGTGCTCAGTGGCCGACGGCACGGCGACCGATGGCGCGGCACACAGCGTGGGAACGGGACATAAGACGCTCCATACGGCGCAACCTGGGCAGGAGCGCGCGACGCCCGACAAAGAGCAGGCGATGACCGGGGCAGAGGCTTCGGCGCACCACTCAGGCAGACGTCCCCCACCTCTGGAGGGAAATAGCTGTACAAGGCTCTTGGCACTCCTACGTGGAATTCCATGGAACAACCACGAAGAATGCACCCAAAGAATTGGCCCACCATTTGCACTCGACTGATGGAGAGGTCCCTCCTCCGTGTCATCATTCAACTCTTGTAGGTCGCGTCCAAGCGATTCGGAGACAACGGGGAGGAGTTCTGATCTGGCTTCAAATGACGGTCAAGGACCGCCGCCAGGACCAAGATTCGGCGATGCCAGCGGAAAAACAAAAATGAGCGTGAAACTGAACAAGGAGGATGGAGACAACGACAGAGCAGCTGGAAAAGCGCGAAAAGCAACAGGTGTGGTGAAAACAAACCACGGTGCATAACAGAACATGTTTGGGAGAAAGCACAGCGATTTGGGAGAAAACGAAAGATGGGGCATCTAATGAGACGACGGGTGGAACAGAAGAACCATGGAGACAACAAATGCAGAAATTGAGAAAACATACCAGTGGGGACAACGCGCCCCCGGTGGAGAAATGCGAACACAAGGATGGAAACAACGAAACAAGTGTAGGGAAATGCCCAACGGAAGTGGAACAACACAGCGAAACAGATGTGAACTAGGAACCAAGAAACTTAAACAGGTGTTGGGAAACATTTTTCAACATGAAAAAAAGAACCAACAAAAAAAACACGAGACCCCGAATGGAGACATCGACAGATTGGGAAAACGAAAAGGAAATAAAGAGAGCGAAACCGAATGGGGCAACCTAGTTAAATCCATGTGAAGAACGAAATGGAGGTGAAGAAAAGAATTGCTGGGGAACATACACTAAACAGGGGCGAGCTCTGAAAAATTTCAAGCATGTTCCTTCCTTCCCTTCTTCCTGCTACGTGCCACGCCTTCTTCCATCCTTCCGCCCTGATTGCCCCCCACCTCTACGCAATTCCCTTCCTCCTCCTCCTCCTCCTCCTCCTCCTCCCCCGCCTCCTCCTCCTTTTCCTCTTCCTCCTCCCCCTCATCTTCAATGTTGTCCTGCCCCATACCCCCCCTTCTCCGGCGTGTTTCTCGCCTCCGTCGAAAAAGGCCCCCATAATCCATCGTTTCTGCCACCCCCTCCTCCTCCTCACCGTGTTCGATGTATTATTGCTTCGCCTCCTCTTTCTCATCGTGTAGGACGGGGGCAGGCGGAATGTCTCATCGGAGTTCCGAGACGCACGGCGGCAAAAAACAGAAGGCGCTGCTCACGCAGCAGCACTGCATGCCCCACACCGCCCCAGAAAGCATGGCACCAAAGTTCACAAGCAAACTCGGCAAGCTGGCCAGATGTATTGGGCGATGCCCGCTGAGTTCAGCTCTGCGCATCAGCGTGGATACACCCTCTTCCTCGCCAGCTCCCCCTATTCAACGGTCCTCCTCATCCTCGCTGTTTTCATCATCACCATCCGCCGCCTTTCTCACTCACCCCATCCCCGTCCTATGTTTACGCGCTGCCCCTCACATATGCAACAGTCATGTCACCGCCCACGGCCACGCCGCACGCTAGTACCACTTCAATTCCGTCGCCCCTTCCACTGCGTCGGATGTCGATGATGATGATGATGATGATGATGATGACGATGATGATGATGATGATGATGATGATGATGATGATGATGATGATGATGATGATGATGATGATGATGATGATGATGATGATGATGATGATGATGATGATGATGATGATGATGACGATGATGATGATGACGCTAATGCTGCTGGCCACGAGTATGATAATGGTTGGCGCATCAGATCAGGGGCCGAGGAATCCTCTGGGGGTCACGCCAATAAAGCCTTGAGACCATTGCATTGTTCGGGGGTGATACTACGCAGTCTACTGCTTAATTACTTTCAACCTGTGTTCGGCCAAGCTCTGCACGAGCCAGCGTTGCCCCATAGGCTGAGGAGACACCCCCTGGCTCGCAAGTAGTGATCTGAGCTCTCAGCACTCAGGCGCTGGGCTCTCCTGTCCTCCCACGACTCGACCCCCTCCCGCGACTCCCGCCCCGACACTTCCCTCTGGACGGTCCCTGCCTTGGCGGCAGAATGACTGGTGTGCTTGACATGCCCGAGGTTCCATAGCTCTGAACCGCACGCGTACCGAGACAAACCCCTTCAAACATCCCTTACGATATCACTCCTCTCGCCAACGAGGCTGTAAGACGCTCGCCGTTCGCACAGGCTGCCTGCGCACGTGTGTCAAAGAGTCCCTCCCGTTCATAATGCATTGCAAACCGCTCCTCTCAGCTCCCGTCCTCCAACATCCTCGACACCTCCCGCTCCAGGGGCCCACGGGGGGCTGGCCCCGCGAACATCTCTCCTCCCTCCGACTTGAGAGCTACCTCCAGTGGGGTGAGGAGACGGGGGCCCAGCTCGCAGTGCTGGTCCAGGCTGAGGAAGATCGCGCAATTGGGGTCGCCTCCGTGTGTCTTATCGCGAGCCTTCGCGCGGAGCATCGCGGCCACTCTGACTCTGGAAGAGGAAGCTTGGATGCGATGCTGTTCGTCTTCTCGATCAGCTCCACCATAGCCGCCAGCACGTCCTTCTCCTCGCTACATTTCTCGAGAGTTCAACGGCAAATGAACGTGGCCACGGCCGGGGAAGATGGCCAGGATCAATGAAACTAACCCAAACGATCGCCGTCAAGGCGCGGCACCAGAGGCCGCGCCGTGAAGCCGCTGAATATGCTGCTGGCGCCGCCACCATGGTTCTGCGGGCACTGTCCGGTACCCCAGCCACCCCGTCCACGAGGGGAAAGGCCGAGGAGATAGCACCGTTCCAGAGCTGCGTGGCCTGGGTACGGCCAACCCCGTCGACAACGCCTTCTACGCGGGCACTGTCTGGTACCCCAGCCACCCCGTCCAGGAGGAGAAGGCCGCGGAGATAGCATCGCTCCAGCGCTGCGTGGCCTGCGTACGGCTGCCCCCGTTGACAGCGCCTTCTGCGCCTACAGTTGCGCGCCCGGAACGCTGAGGGGAAGGCGCGCGCCACCTGGCCATCCAGGCTGGCGGCGCTGTAGCACCGTTGGAGCGACTGGCCCCCTCGACTTCGGGATGAAGCCCGAGCGGTCGGGTTGCACCTGGCAAAAACCCGCGGTCCAGGGGTCGACTTCCAAGAGGCCGAGGACGGCTGGTGGAAGGGGCCCTGGGACACACAAATCAATACACACAAATAAAAAAGGATTCTCCTTACATTTTCCCATATTTTCTGGGTTTCTGTCTCCCCCTCAACTGCCCATACTTTCCCATGTTTTCTGGGGAATCGACGATTCATTTATCTGTGTTTTTTCTCCTCCTGACTGGTGGAGCCCCAGGACAAGGCGACCCACCTGTGCCGGGAGCCCCCGTTTGCGCGGACTGAGGGAACTATACGCGGTGCACGCCCAGGCCCTCCGGCTATACGTGAAGGATTGCCTTCTCGACCCAGGGCGCGACCTAGTTTACCCAGCAGTTGTACGTTCGACAGGGTGCGCTTTCGACCAAGGGCGCCTCGTGCTCGGCCCAGAAGTTGATCCACCCCGGCCAGGATTCGCGTCGCTTTCTTCCCCATCTTCGGAAGGCCCAGGCTTGGCCCAGGGCCTCCCGAATATCGGGAGGCAAGCTGGTGACCACTTAAGGGATTCCAGCGGTCACTCGATTGTTTCCCGATCTGCGGGAAGCCTGGCCCAGGGCCTCCCGAAGATCGGGAAACAAGCTGGTGACCATTTCAAGGAGTCCAGCGGTCACCCGCTTGCTTAGCCCTGGGCCTCCCAAGTGCTATTTCCCAATACTCTGATATCATACAAATAAAAACCAACTTTACATGTGCCCCCGGATCCTAGGAGCCGCTGTCCTCGCTGCTCCCGGATCCTGGGGGTGGCTGTCCCCGCATCCCGGGGAGCGCCAGGATCCTGGGGGCAGGTGACCTCAGCAGAGGCCTCCTAGATGGGGTCCGAGTAGATGGGGTCGGAGGATCGCGCCGCATCGCCGATACATCGGCGATGCACCGACGATGCATCGGCGATGCATCGGCGACGTCGGCGATGCATCGGCGACGTCCGCGTGGAGAAAATCGGGCTCCGCATCGAGCCGCATCGTCGATGCATCGGCTATGCGGCGCGATCCTCCGACCCCATCCACTTGGACCCCATCTGGGCGGCCTGGACTCAGATCCCGGGGGGTCGGCGTTGCTTCCTTGGCTCCTCCTCCTCCTCGTTCTCCTCCTCCTCCTCCTCCTCCTCCTCATCCTCCTCCTCCTCCTCCTCCAAATCCGGGGACGACGGAACCGCACGCGGGGAACGACGAAACGGGGCCCGGTCCGCCGGGGCCGGAAGACGAGGCCTTCTCCTCCGGAGCACTGCTCTCTCGGGGCGTTTTTCATCAGAGCCCCGGGCTTGTCCGACAGACTCCTGGGATCCCCGCCTGTTCCGAGGAGCCGCCCGGCCCGCCGGGGCCGGAAGACGAGGCCTTCTCCTCCGGAGCACTGCTCTCTCGGGGCGTTTTTCGTCAGAGCCCCGGGCTTGCCCGACAAGCTCCTGGGATCCCTTGCCCGTTCCGAGGGCCCGCGGACGGGTGCCCGCTGGGAGCATGGGGCCGGGTGCCCCCAGGAGAGCGGGGACGGCCGACTCACCAAGCTCCCCTCCCGAGGGCCGCGCAGCAGGCAGCTGGCAGCAGCTGTTTCGAGATGTTTCGAGGCTCCCATTGTGAAGGCACTCAATGCCTTCACAGTGGGAGCCTCGAAAATTAACGCGTCCATGGGGCTCTGGAGCAATGATTGCTCCAGAGCCCCATGGACGCATAAGTTTCCGATGCTGGTCATTTGCAAGCTCAACCACGAATCTAACATGAACTGTAATGCCGAGGCGGGGGGGGGGGGGGGAATTTCACCACACGAATTAGGAAAGAGTGCTTTCTGGGCGATGGTGGCCCAATGTCAGCACCACGGACAGGGCGATGTTTGCAGGCCAATACATTGTTAAAAGTAGTTGTTGACTTCGCTACAGGCTCTTGATGGCCTCATCCGCATGGCGGCCCATGATGATAGGTGACGGCGAGGATGGTGGCAGTACATTGATGGCGATGGTGATGGTAGGCATGGTGGCGATGGTGATGGTGATGATGGTGATAGTGTTGGGAACACATACAGTCGATACATAAACGGCCAGCGTCGCTCAAAAAATCAGCATCGCCAGCGTCGTTTAAACGAGCGCTGCGCCACGGCGAAAGCGCTGTGCTGCCCGCGTCATAAAAGCAGCACAGTGGCAGCGCGATTCAAGACGCGCTCGAGGGAACAGGAAAACCCATACCACGATGGGATGGGGATGCGACAGAAGCGGAGGGGGAAAACACGAGAAGTGGGTGAGTCAAACGCAAGTAATGATGTAAGAAGAGGGCGGGGAGGAAAGCGAGGGGAGACGAATGGCGGGTGGGGGGAGGAGGCAAAGAGCCAGAGGAGGGGCAGGCAGGCAAGTCAGAAGGAGCAGAACAGGACAAGGGAAAAGAAGCAGTAGACTGAGGCAAGATATAGGCATTCTCCCCTTTCATCCCCCTTTTTGCTGCGGCTCATCATACTCCCAGTACTCCTCTTGCTTCTCCCCCTACTTCGCCTGCCCACTTCCTCTCCCGCAAGTGCAGGCCCACTAGGTAGGATTGCTAGTGGTGACGATGTCACCCTCAGAATGAAGTGCCCGCTGGAACGGCCCGAAAATGATATTATGTCCTCTGCCGTGCTCCGCTGCCAAGCGTCTTGCCCGACTCGCTGAGCCGCCCTGAAGGCCTGCACACGCACGCACACACGCACAAACACACACACACACATACACGCCAGTCGGAAGAAGTGGGTAAAAGACATGAAGCAGGAAGGCGCTGGAAGCAGATTGGGCCTCCGCCCGCCCCCTGAAGAGGAGGGAAGAAGGACAACAGTCGATCCTTGAAGTAGGAAGGCGCCAAAACTTCATGAGGATCTGCCGATCTTGCAATACAAGAATACCTACCTTCAACGACCGGCGTGCACACGCTTGGCAACAGCAAGGGAAGGTGGAGGGAGCGGACAACAAGGCACACAGGCTGGCGCATCACGCGCACGTTGTGTTGTGACGGGCGGAAGAAACGCCAGCCCTCACGTCAAAAGGACTCCTGCCCTCGCCCTCCATCGGTCTGCGACAGGGAACTCTTCCCACCAAGCTACGGGGAGAAACAAGAGGAGGAGGAAGAAGACAGGCGAGTACGAGGACGATGGCGAGTTGGGCAGCGACGACGACGAGGAAGGACAGCAGGACGAGAATTAGCAAGGCAAGGATGGCGACGAACGAGGACACAGTCGAAGCTGCGGCTGGAGATTGACATGGAGGTGGTGGTGATGCGTGGAAACGAATG